TTTTAGAAAATGATTGCTCAATCTGACAGACATTGTTGCTATAAAAGCAGAGAAAAGCTTCAGCAGATATAGAAGGAAGAAGTGAGTGTGCGTGAAAGATTTTTGCACAGAGCATTGATAATAATTGAAATCAAACAATATTGCTGAATACCACCACAGATTGCTTTTAGATACACATTAATTATTTAGTGTGAAATTAATGACAAAATTAATGAAGGCGAATGAAGAGTCTGGGAATGGAACAGGAAGTCAGACTAACTGTGTGTGTGAGCTCATCCAGTGTGTTGTGGTTTGTGTAGTGTGATGTGATATGTTGTGTGTAAAGTCACGCCTGGCTGGCTGTTATCTTCCATAGACTCACGGGTCCCTGAAGGGACACCAGAGGAGTCATCTGATTCACTTGCCGTTCCTTTAGCTCCTGCAAATTAAAACTGGACCAACACAGAGAGACACAGATAGGAAAGCAAGCATTTTTTTCTTCTTTTAATTAAATCTGTTCGTTTTTCTGCCTAATCCCCACCAAATGGATACTCGTCTAACATATATAATTAACCCCCCAAAGAAGCTGTTTAATTCTGGCCTTTTTTCCTCCTCTCCTTTAACTTGCTGCTGCTGTGGCTTTTCGACAGAGCAGTAGCACTATCTCTCACATCGGGGACCATCGCACTCTTGTTTAAGGTCTTTTTATGAAACACAGGCGATCAGCTCCGATTTGATTTTCCGTTCATCCGCCCTGATAATTATGATATGTCTCCCCCCTTGTATAAGTGCGCATATGTGCATGTAGACACGCTTCACCTCGGTTACTAAGGGCTGCTGCTGCTTTTCAGTGCCACTGTGCTCTGAAAGACCTGCAACAGCAGTGCTTTATAAACACTGATTGGCATTAATTTGTAGCAGATGTGCAAAATTTACAGCGGCTGACTGTCAATCTAAAATATAGTATGAAGCTATTACAGTTTTCAAGTGTGATTAAAAGCAGCCATCTTGTGTCAAAATAATAAACTTAAGTGTACCCCAGTAGTTTCTGTAGCTAGTTGCTGAATGTTGACACCATATAGTTTTAGCACAGTCGCGTTAATGTCAAGTCTGATCGTCTTAATTCTTCTCTCTCTTTGAATTTCATCCTGCATCACAATGCGTGTCTTTTTTCCCCTCAATCCATGAAACAAGAGCAACACATTCTATGTTGTTAAGTGTAATTATGAATATTACAAACATTAGACAATACGGATAGATGGCTGCTGTGCAATCAATTTAATTGCTCCTTTTCACAATCAGTGCTTTGTCTGCGCCGCAACGCTGAGAGTTTTTGGAATCAGACTCTAAATTGGAAAGTTTTGCAGACAAAAACAAAATAAAGCTCCAGAGTCGTCTTGTTCTTGCCTGGGGAAAAATGGCAACAAGTGTAATTGAAATATAATGAGCTGTTTGATGTAAATACTTATAACCAGGTACAAGTTTATTTTTGTGTTTATCATCTGATAACAGGCTCCATTGTGTTGCCTGCAACCTTAGCAGTTACTAGACAAGCAAGTTTATTTATGCTGGATTTCTTTTATTGGCCGTTTTAAATTAGAGTGATGTATTCATTGTAAAGCCAGTAACACTAACAGTATGTATTCTGCATTAAATGTGTCATTCCCTTGCTTTTTCAAAAGATTTGTTGTGGTCTCAAGTTTGAATGAATTCCTTCTGAGTAATTTTCGGTGGAAGAAGCTCATGCCTGAAGGTCTTGTTCACGAGTGAAGAAAAGATGGAGCACAAGATCGATAAGTGGATTGTTGCGACGTCTGCAGCGATGCTGGCGTTGGACCGGTATATGGAGATCTTTGCCTTTCGGTTCAGCTCTCTCTTCACCACGACAGACCGGTCGATCTATGTTCCAAGACCTATGGTCACAAGATTTGGGTAGTGACCAAAAGAACGAGATCAAGGACACAAGCGACCAAAATAATTTTTTTTTTCCACAGGGTGTCTGGGCTCTCCCTTAGAGATAAGGTGAGAAGCTCTGTCATCTGGCAGGGGCTAGGAGTAGATCCGCTGCTCCTCCACTCTGAGAGGAGCCAGTTGACTTAGCTCAGGCATTCAGTTAGGATGCCATCTGGACACCTCCCTGGTGAGATTTTTGTGAGTCTATGGGACCACAGTCGCTAGGTAGATCTGGGTGTCATCTGCATAGGTGAAGTTGTTACTGTGAAAGAAAACAAGTTGTAAACAAAAATCGGGGCCTCCTGTACTTTCTTTGAAGTAGCCTACACAGATTTTTGTTTTTGAGGGTGGGGGGTTGGGTGGGGGTGGGGGGGGGGGTGTATACATAATATTTGATGGTAAAACACAAAGTAACATTTTTGTAAATATGATTATATAATTCATATGTTTAAATCTGTGAATCTCGGTGGCCACAGTTTAAGGGTTTGTAATGAATCTCAGACTTGAAATTCCATCACCACAGTCTGATGTTGATTATTTCTGACACGCCAACATTTCCAGACTTTAAACGTTTCTAAAAGTAAAAGTGTGTAAAGAAAACTTCTGGATCTTGTGAATCTTGGTGGAGATGAAACAAAATGCTGTTCATGCTCCAGAAATGGTTTCCATACATTTTGTAACGTCAACTGCTGGAGTTTCATCGGCATAAACCTAAAGCTGTAATCTATCTGCATGCCCTTACTTTTTCTGCTCTCTCTCTCTCTCTCTCTCTCTCTCTCTCTCTCTCTCTCTCTCTCTCTCTCTCTCTCTCCCTCCATCTTTTCCTCCATCTTTGTCTTTCGGCACTCTCTGCTCTTTCCCTTCCACTCTTTTGTCCAACATGTCTAGTCTGCAGAAGAGACAGAAGTGATGGTAAGCACCATTACAGTCTCTAAAGGTCCTAATCTTTTGGCCTTTCCACATTTGATCAGACTTGTAACTTTCATTTTGTTACCAGTTTTCTGTTTTTACAAGCGAGGGGTCTCGTAAGAAAAAAAAATTAGCTGTGTTTTTACCATTCCGATTAGAGTCATTATTAAAAATTCATGTTCGATTGTCAACAGTTAAAAGTAAACTGTCTACTTTGCTGTCTCAATGACGTAAAAATTCTCCTAAATGACCAACTGGGATGTACTGAAAGTAAAAGATCTTTCTTTGCTTCTTTTTTCTTATGTGGTGTTCCCGCTCTTTTGTGTTTTTTATGCTAATTGAATGCCCCCCCCCCCCACACACACACACACACACTTCTCTGTCACTCATTCAACTTTTGAATACTTTCATACACAATTTTGTTTGACCTTGCTTTCTTTTAAAAAGACATTTTCCAGTGTTTTTATCTTAGTCAGGGCAGTGTGCACCTACAGCAATGTTGGCTGTTGAAAGTTTATTCATTTATTTGAATACATTTCTTCCAATAGAAATGGTGGAATTTTTTTGTTTCTCCTTATTTTAAAAACATTTTTATTTAGCATAAACATCCTTTTTTGTGTCCTTTTCCTTTTATCCATCTCTTTTCCCACAATTTCATCTACTTTTACTTGGTATGTAGCTTTTTGCATGCCTTCAGCAGCATCCCCTCACCCTGTGGTATTTAATAAATTATGTATTTGTCATCAGAGCAAAAGGGTTGTTTGTACCGTTTATGCCAACCTGACACCAGCGTGATGAAATGAGTGTAGATGCATAGCTAAGTGGATGAATGGAGCCGGATGTGAAAAGCGTTGGCTTTATTAGAAGGTTCTGACTTCCTGTAAATGGCGTGTTGGTTGTCTTTGTACTGCATGATTTATTTTTCTTCCGGGTGTTCGCACAGTTGAGGTCAAAGTATTCCCTATGAATCAGTATTAACTTTGGTTCTTGAATTAAACAGAACTGAAAAACGCTTATAAGAAAAGCATGCATCTGCAACATAGTGATGGCTGGAGTTCTATTCAAGCATAAAATCCATCCAAACTGAGCTGCTTTGGTTTTCATCCATCAATCCTTTTTCTTAACCGCTTCATCCTGAGTAGTGAGGGACATTTTTTGTAACTCATCCATGTAGATCTATTTAATTATGAATTATTAAAGGCATTTCTGTTTGATTGACAGGTAGCAGATGAACCGTCAGTGCTAGCGCTAGCAGTTTCCCCTACTGCTTGCTCCAGGGAAGGCTTCAGCCTCGGCTTTGTGTTAAAGTGTTCCAGGCTTGATGGCAGAGGGTAGCAGTCACTCAGTTGCAGTTTTCATGCAAAAAGTTCCTGCAAACCACAATCAGTTTCGTTTAGCTAAGTTAGCTTGTAACATTGGCTCAAAGGTTAATTGGTGTCCACCCTCATCGCCCCACTTTTAGGTCAGTTTTTGTATTTTCTGGGAGTGATGAGATGCGTAAGGCCACCAATGTGGCAGTGGGGGAAGCTGCCCAATAGTCTTAAATTGATTGACCTCTTCTAAAACCTATGGGTGAGGGTTTGTCCATATTATATAAACAGTCATTGGTTTTAACAGGTCTCTAGTTCATGACAGGAGCAAGAAATGAGATGTACAATGATTGACGCCCACACTTAGGGGCAATTTAGAGTCACTAGTTTATGCAGTTTCTGACCCAGTGCGTTCAAGAAGAGAACCTTGCAGAAAGGACATAACAAGGTGTTGAACCTGCAACCTTCCCGCTGCAGAACAACTGTGCTATGATCTATGTAAACAAGAATGTTTTGACAAAGGAGTGCCAACTTCATTTTGAATAAGAAAATAATATGTTTTGGGTTCTTTGTCTAAACAAAATCAAATTTTTTGTCTTAAAAAATTCTGATAAAATTAATGATCAGGATTTATGGAAAGAGAAAAATAAAAAATAATTAGATGCATGTTTACGTTTTTCAATTCTTCTGGCTTAACATGTACCGTTAGATTATACATGAGCACTTTTTTGTGTCAAATCCTGTCACCAACTTACCCTAAGACCTCTACTGTGTTGGTTTAATTGATTGTCTATGTGTGTGTGTGTGTGTGTGTGTGTGTGTGTGTGTGTGTGTGTGTGTGTGTTACAGACTCAGCAGCTACAGAAGAAAGATTTGCAGCTGAAAGCACTGGATGCCTTCTACAAGGAGCAGCTGGCACAGCTGGAGCAGAGGGTACAACATCCACACATGAACAGAAATCACTCAAAGCTTTCTGAGTCCCAGAGGTGCTGTGCTCAGGACCATAGCATAACTATGGATATGTACGCACAGACTAACTACTATGACGCACGCACGCTGCAGGGGTGCATCAGTCTCACGTAGATCATTAATTCCGACAGCCATTAGGATTTATAACACGTAACGATGTCATGAGCCACTTAAACTCTACAATCAATATCCATGCATATTACTCCTGATATATGTACATTTGTGCACGTGTGCTTACATGTTCATGCATGTATTAATCTATCACTTGGACAGTAAAAATAAGTTGTAGTAGAACAGCTAATATGTTTTATATATTATTACATCCACAATGTTTTACAATCCCCTATCCATAAGGCTTACTCTGTGTGTGTGCGTGCGTGTGTGTGTGTGTGTGTGTGTGTGTGTCTACATAGGAACTACTGTTGTATATAGTGTCTTGTCTTTTTATGTTTGTGCATTTTTGATCATTTTGTACTCCTTTGCTACCTATCCTGAGCAGTGGGCCTGCTGTGATCTGATCTGATCTGATCTGTTCTTATCTTATCTTATCTTATCTTATCTTATCTTATCTTATCTTATCTTATCTTATCTTATCTTATCTTATCTTATCTTATCTTATCTTATCTTATCCATAATTTATAGTGGTGAACATGCAAAATGAATAGAAATATTTTTGATAAAGTGACATTGAGATGCAGAAAATGAAACTCTTCCTATCGAGCGTGAATCGACGAGCTGCAGAGTTTGAAGCCAGACCGAGCATCTCTGGAGAGCTCTTACAAGACCTTCTATTTGCTTTCATCTTCTGTTTGACATTTACCAGGTATAAAAGGTGTGGTTTCAAGTTAAGTCTCAGTCTCACCAGGCGCCATGCTAGAGGACCTTTAGCAGAGACTCTCTAGGGGAAGCTGTCTTCTATTTTTCAAATGGAGAAGACCTTATGTGTGGATTGTAAGTATTGTGTTCTGCTTACCATGGCTAATTCAAGCTTGTCCTGCTGTAGGCGGAGCCACATGGGCCACCGTAATGCTGAAGTGTCGTCATGACAAAAATAACAGCCATGTCCTGATTGGACTGGCTTCAGGAAGGCTGAGCGATTAGGCTTACATGGAGGCTCCATCATTATACTCATTGCGACATTTTCCCTTTTAGCCACTGAATTATAGTTTAAAGGTGCAAAATGTAAGAATGACATCCTGTGGTCAAATTTGGGTATTGCATCTATTTAAAAAAAAGTGTGTTTCTCACTACCGTTCGGAGAGCTTCATGGCTGTAGCCACTAGCCAGTTACAGATCAGTTCCAGAAGAATATAGATGACGAGCAAAGACAAGTCGCACGTTGATAAATATCAGTAGATAATTACGTTGTCATATCTGGTGCTAGCATTCTTGGGTGTTTTATGATAGGAGGTCTCTTACTACAATTGTGGTAGTATGCCTCAGTCATTGGAGGAGGTGTGGTTGTTTGCCTTCTTGCTGTTGTTGAGGCAGCAGTAGCTCAGAAGGTAGAGTGGGTTGCCCAGTGTAACGGAACGGAATGACTCTTATTTTTCCCTTCTTTGCTCAAGACTAGTCTGCATGAGATACGTCTCACGGTCTCATGCATTCCTTCTAACCTGCTTATTTTCAGCTCAACAGAAGAATGAACTATTTTCTTTTAATTAATCAAAGAACTCTATTTTAATAAAGTTAATCCATCAAAGTGTTAGTCAATAAATAAGATGTGACTGACCTGTGAAATCAAAATATTAATTACTTTATTATGATCCTATAGAATATAGAGGTACTGTGACTTTGTGTTCCAACAGGACTCATTTCACGTAGCGTTAAAAAGACATGACACATTACTTTCACTGATCCAATCAGAATCTTACAGATCTGACGGAGGCGTGGTTTTGATGGTGTTTGGTCATTTTTCATTCGACAATAAACCAAAACATCCGAGGTATAAAACTATGCCACGTCAGCTCTAACGCCAGTTCAAAGCGTTCCAGAGAAAGTGACGGAGTGGCCAATCCTGGTTTCAACTCTTTAACCGAAAGAACAACGACAAGCTGAAAAATCCCGTCGCTATTCCAACAGCGGCAGCAGTTCCTTTCAGAACAAAAGCTCCATCCGCCGACCCAGGCTTGGGTCTCACCAGATGCCAATAACTTGTCGTGTACCCGGAAGTAACTCAAGACGGGTTTGATCGGAACCGCGGCTTTTCCTACCGGCTCGGTTCCAGAGAGGGTCCACTGGACCTCGATATTCCTGATCTACAGAGGACTTCCACAAAGGGTAGGTAGACCGACATGATGGTGTCTCATGTGTTTCTGAATCTCCTAACCAAGGCTTAATGCGAAAACAACACCTTCAGTTCCCGTCAGAACAATCGCTTCTTCGGATTTGTTGGTTCTGATTTAACATCACACGTCATCCATTCACCGTCTCATCCATTTTAGTTACACCATACATTTAGTGTTTAAAGTCAGTCTAGTTTAATTTGTTAGTAATAAAATTCTTAACTTTTAAACTTGACTCTCTCTCTCTTATGTTGTCTCTGAGTGAATACGTAGCGGTTATCTAATCCCTGCAATAAAAAGATCCAATCTTCTGGTTTAAATAACCCACCGATCTGTAAGGTGGATTTCCTATTTCCTATGGAATCCCACGCCTTACGGCTCATGAAATAACTGTAATCTATTTGATTACACCAGTGACTAGCAGGGTATTCAGCTAGCTTTGTTAGCTCCACATTAGCCTCTAGCCTTTTTACCTGATACTACAGTAAAGCAATTTATAGGAGGAGAAAAAACTGTGACAGTGTGCATATGTGTAGAGTGGTTGTGATTGGTTAAAATAAGCAGATAGAGTCACTGACTTGAGCAATAGCCATTTTTCTAGTTGGTAAATTTTAAAGTGTAGGATTTTAGGAACTGGGCATGACCAATCCTGTTCCTGTGGCTCTCTGCTGATGAGAAATCCAAACTGGACTGCTCTGCTTACTTGATGTATTAGTTTTTCTTTAGGAAGTTACTTTTATTCAGCCATTTTTACACACAAACGTTGTGCTCTGCTGACACGAGGAGCAAGTTGTTAAATGGCATTCCAGAGTTTTCCAGAAACCATTAAAACAACAAAAACTTTTATTTTCAGAGGAAAGCGATGAGCAAAACCAAGATATCGAGCAGTTATTTGGGGCAGACTCTCACGGGTCTTGGTGTCATCTGAGTGGCTATTTGTGTTTGTCGTATTAGTAACAGGCTGAGTTTGGAAAGTGAGTGGAAGGCTGGAAGGCTGGCATACGGGTGGCACAAGCTGTGTTTACCGTTGAGCTCAGGATGTTTGCAGACAGACCTCTCTGTGTGTGTGTGCGTGTGTGTGTTTGTGTGAGGTAGACTGAGATATTATTTGCATAGATACTGTGTAATCATGCCGGGCAGTATAGGCAGACTTGTGTATCCATCTCAGGACTCGGCGTGTGTTTGCAGTCGGCTCCAGTGCCCACATGTGCTGGACTGCTCAGAAATACCTCCGCAAATTACTGGACAGTCAAGAAAAAACTTGTCTGTTTTATTTACAATGAAAAAAAAAAGCTTGAGGATAAAGAAAGCACTGAGGCTAGATGAGTTTAAGCCAAACACTGGAGATCTCCCTGTTGAATTATTTATTATATAGAAGCACATCTGTCTCCATTTTCTTTTAAAAATCCAAATCTGAGACCATGGTTTTCGACCGGAAAAGGGTGGCTTGCCAACTCCGGGTCGGGAGAGAGGTCCTACCTCAAGTGGAGGAGTTTAAGTTTCTCAGGGTCTTGTTCACGAGATAGGGAGATCGACAGGCGGATTGGTTCGGCGTCTGCAGTGATGCGGACGCTGAGCCGATCTGTCGTGGTGAAGAGGGAGCTGAGCCAGAAAGCCAGGCTCTCGATTTACCGGTCGATCTACGTCCCAATCCTCACCTATGGTCATGAGCTTTGGGTAATGACCGAAAGAACGAGATCGCGGATACAAGCGGCCGAAATGAGTTTCCTCCGTAGGGTGGCTGGGCTCAGCCTTAGAGTTAGGGTGAGGAGCTCGGACATTCGGGAGGGACTCGGAGTAGAACCGCTGCTCCTCCGGATCGAAAGGAGCCAGTTGAGGTGGTTTGGGCATCTGGTCAGGATGCCTCCTGGACGCCTCCCTGGGGAGGTGTTTCGGGCATGTCCTGCCGGCAGGAGGCCCCCGGGTCGACCCAGGACACGTTGGAGAGGTTACATCTCCAATCTGGTCCGGGAACGCCTTGGAGTCCTGCCGGAGGAGCTGGTGGAGGTGGCCGGGGAGAGGACGGCCTGGAGCGCCCTAGTTGGGATGTTGCCCCCGCGACCCGGACACGGACAAGCGGAGGAAGACGACGACGACCAAACACTGGAGATCTCCCTATTGAGTTATTTATTAAATAGAAGCACTTCTGTCTCCATTTTGTTTTAAAAAGTGTCAAAAACATACAATAAAATCAGCATAAATGTGATATGAAGCATATCCCTGTTAGTTCTATTCTACTAATTCCTCGTTAGTCTCTTGTTTCCCTCTCTCACTGGCGGTTTCGCTGTCTTTCCGACTTTCACACACATTCCTGTCATAATGGAGCATATTTTTGAAGCTCGTGAAAATAGAGCATATACAGAAGGAGATAATAATCCTCCTCCAAGTCTGACAGGTTGCTTGACGGGCTGTCAGCCGGGCCCCTGTGTAGTGCCCTGGAAATATCTGCACACAAAACACACACGCACCGCTTTATTCCAAATCAAGCCACTGGCACTGCTTTTGTTCCCGGGCAAACAGAGAGGTTGAAAACTTCTTTAAGGAAGACACACACACACACACACACACACACACACACACACACACACACACACACACACACACACACACACACACACACACACACACACACACACACACACACACACACACACACACACACACACACACACACACACA